GGGTCTACAGGGGTTCAAGGAGAAGATATCTGTTGCTTGTGCCGAAAGAGAAGAACATAGTCTAAGGAAAGAATCCAAGGATAAGGAGGGTCTAGAAGTGTACGGAATGTTGAAGGAAGGAATAGGGTTCAAGGACTACCTACATGGACCAATGGATGCAGGAACAAAGCTTAAGGTCAAATTCAGGACCGGGGACATAGGCCTTCGAGAACGTCGACGAAGACATAGGACGGTAGACGAGGAAGACGACGAGTTCAAATGTGATTGCGGCTTCGAATGCGAAGACCGTGTTCATGTAGTCGCGGAATGTCCGTTGTACAAGAAGGAGAGGGAAGTGTACGTGACTGAGCTGGGAAAAATAGATGGAACGTACAGGGAGATGTTTGAGGCATGGAATAGAGAGGAAAGGACGGTAGCTGTACTGGGGCATAGGAGGTGGGTTGAAAAGGCGGGAAGGGATATCGTTAGGATAGACAGACTAGGGAAGACATTTTTGAGCCACCTTTGGCAAAGTAGAAAGGAACGATTGGCCATCGGTGATCGGTCCTGTGGGAACAATGCTCCGTCCTCTCGAGGACGCGTGGTCAATGGTCTAACCGCTAAGGCATGCAAAACATAAGAGTACGCCCCCCCACCTCCCCACCGCCCTTCAGGTATGGTGACAACGCCAACATGGACACCTAAGGTTGGACCTGCTCGGACCTGGAGTCAAGAAGTAAAGTAATTGGCGCATAGTTCGGCCCCTATTGCGACAGAGTTGCACAGGTGATATGTACACAGCTGGCGACGGGTGGAAGCATAGAAACACAGCTCGCCACCGAGCACCAATGCAACAACCAGCTCAAGTTGACCAGCCGCCCCGGGGGCTGCGTTTGTTGCCAACCCGGTACAGTATCGCAGGAGGGGGTCCAGCCCCCCCCTCCTTTGTGACTCCGGTTGGGTCGTCTCGCTAGTAGAAGTGGAGGATAGGGGCCAGAGGGGCAGACGACAGAGTCCAATGATGGGGAAAAAAAAAAAAGTACGTTGTTCCGCGTTGCTTCAACAAGATACTGCATGCGTTGAATATCATAAGATATCCATGCCCAATTCACCGTGGTGGTGCATGCTTGGTGACAAGTCAGCGACGTTGGAATTCACAAGAGTAAATACAGCAACAGCATGCAGTCTTACATCCATACGGCTCTGTGTGGGTGCATTCGTCGAAGAAATTTGCAGTGGTGGTGACAACCACGTGGAGCTCTGTGCCAACTCAACAACTTGCGATCAGCAGCAAACGGTCAATTCATCCATTGTTTGCAGGTTGTACTCGGCTCTTTTCGGTCGAAGCAGGGGTATGGTAGCAGAGAGGGATTGAAGTCATGGCTCTTATCTTGTTTTTTCCTCTGGGACGTGATCGAAGAGTTGGCAAGTCCGATAGTGTTGTCTGACAAACGCTCTTTCTTTGCGGCAGAAAAATGTGAAGGGGGCAACAGAAACGATGAAAGTCGAGAGGCCTGCTTCAGTCTATCCCGCCGAGTGGGCCGGTAGAAAATAGAAATTAGTGCGTGATGGGTTCGGGTTCGGGTTCGGGTTCGCGAATCAGCATGAGAGTTCGGGGGTCAGTTCCTGAGCCAATCTCGTGTGGTACCGTTTTATGTCACCGAACTCTCCCGGTAATGTATGCTCGAGTACACGGTTTTCTGTAGTTGGCCTGACGCAATTCCTTACTACCTCGTACAATAGGAGATACTTCGTTCTGTGACCTTCTATACCGCATGGCAGCCGTTTAGATGGAGGTTGACACGTATACACTTGCACGGATGTCAATGCTCAAGCAACGAGAAACGCATAGCCAAAGCTGCGAAAATCTTCGCCGTGAGCAGGTTCCGACAACAAGGTGCAGCAGATGTAGCATCACCAGGTGCTTAATAGTGCAAAAATTCCAATATTCATACCATGTAGTAAGTCCTGGTGTGCATCATGTGCATTTTGGAGTACAACAACACCAGTGAATAAAGGACAGCAACCAGGTAACACTCGGCGAAACTTTCTTGTAGCCCTTGTACAACCACGGCAGCTTAATAGATTCTAGAGGGATCACCCATATAATCCATCGGTACACTTACACTTGTGCCGCATACAGCAGTGTACGCATGTGAAAGCAAGAGATGTTGGAAAGTGGATGTGTGAATAATACAAGTACATACAAGCCTTGAGAGAATTCTGACGTTGTACTTTCACATTTTTTCACATCTTCACCCACGGATTGCTGAAACGGACAGCAATCGCTGCCGTGTTCAAATCATTGCAAACTCACCCTCCATAAGAGTCTAGGGTCTTGTTTAGTGCGGCTGCCAGGTGACGTCAAAGGTGCAGCTGGGTGGTGGCAGGGTGAACACGTGAAGTGCGGTGTGGCATCGTGGACGATAGGTTCTCCCGCTGTGCTTGTGGAATCCTGTTGGGGTAAGGTGTCTGTTTGAAACTCGCCGCGGTGCCCCCAGTCCTATTGCCAAAGGCCAGCGAGAGAGAGCACCACAAACACACCACGCTGCACGGCCATAGCGCGAGGAACCAGGAGAAGCATGGCTCCTATCGATGTCGTCTCCACCGAACAGCGCTGCTCCTTCAGCAAGCTCCAGGACGAGCGATTGGCGAGCCGATGCATCAAGCCAAGGGTTGTCCTGGCGAAGAGCGTGCACGTGATGGAGAGGGAGGCTCTCGGAGCCAGGGACCACCACGGTGAGAGGCCGGAAAAGACATGCACCCGCTGCCCTTCCCTTCCTCGAGTGTTGTGTTTCGATGCGGGTAGTTGTCTGACCGCCATTGCTGTGGATAGGGAGGTACTAGGCGCGTGCATGCCTGTCTGTGGTTCACGTGTCACGAAAGAACACACAGCGACCACTTGAAGGAGTGCGCATATAACACATGCACGTGTCGACGCCGCGCTGCTGCCTCCTGGCCAAGGCCGGAGCTTACCTTTTGAGGGCAGGGTAGCATGAAAGAATTGCGACTATATAGTACTGAAGGAACGGTTGTGTGTTTATGCTGGTTGATCACGAGGCGCCAGGCAAAGCATCAGCTCTGGGTACATTAGCGGTGCCTGCCAGGAGCTGGCAGTTGAAACTACGAAATTACGGGTCGTCGTTGTTGTTCGTTTTTCGATGAAAATGGACGGCTATCCACACACCTTCACTCCCCGCGGGCATGCGGAGGGTTGGAGTCGGTTGCAGCCTCAATCCCCTATGTGTGTAAACAAGATATATTCTCCAAGACCCTAGACCTTCCCGTCCGTGCCTATCCACCGCCCTAGCCTTGGTCTAAATCACCGCCGTGTGTATCACTGATTTTGTCTTGTCACCACCGAAGACCGGATCAAGGCACTCTTTCCCAGCACCTACGGCCGGCCCCGGATCGAGCTGGTCCCGGGAGGAGAAGCGGACGTCTTCGACAAGCCCCTCAACATGGGCGTGGTCCTTAGCGGTGGACAGGCGCCCGGCGGCCATAACGTTATCGCCGGAGTCTTCGACTTCGCCAAGAAGTGTTCCCCTGATTCCAAGGTTTACGGGTGAGAGAGAATCGACGAGGAACATTTCATGTGCAACGGTTTTTTGAACATTTGATTTGTGCATGCATAGGGCTGCTGTAGACCTTTTCCGAGCCTGCTGTTACGGCGCGCATGTTCGGGGGCATGGGCACTTACATGGGCACATTGGAATTTGATGTGCACTCTGGCCGGTCCATTCCAGGCTGATACGATACGAAGGGTACAATCACCCTCCTCCATGAAAACAGTAGTCGAAGTATTGGGGCGATTCTGGGCGTATCTACTGCTGTTCTTGCATGCACGCGTTCAGATGCTCTTGTTGCTGCTGCTAGTGTGCCGACCCATTTCAATGTGTTCGACTTCCGCCAAGTGTCTGGCAGGGGTCACGGCGGTTATCGTTCGACACGCGTTGCCCACATGATTGTCTCCACATATTATAAACGGTTCTATTGGCGTGCGTGCAGAACCTTGCCATGATTTTGATGGCCGAGGAAAAAAATCAAAATAGCATTCATTTTGATTCGTGGTCCGCAGCATCATATCTGTCCGTCGGCACCTCTGTGCTGCTTCTGGGTTGGTCGTGATGTCGTACGGGTGGCTTGACCTCGATAAGCAACACGCCACTGCTGCGCGAGGAATGCTATTAACATCGACCGCTGCCGTTTTGCTATGTTACCAAAATATCACCCCCCCCCCCCCCCCCCC